GGTTTTCAGAAAAATCACGTTTTCACGGTAGCATCCCGAATCAGTTTTCGCAAAATAAGTATTTTATCTATTTATTCAGAAAATTGCGAAAAATCGCGTACTCTGATAGTATAAAAAAGTCGGGGTGTTACAATTGGTATCAGAGCGCACGTTTCTGCGTCTCTGAAAAGTTTTTCCGTCAATAATTTTCAGAAAAAAAAAAAAAAAAAAAAAAAAAAAAAAAAAAAAAAACCTGAACCGTCACGCTCACGCCTCGCCGACTCCAGGTAAGTGCTGATTCAGTTTTTTCAGTTATAAACATTTTACTTTGTCTATGCTCAGAAATCAGTAATCAGACTTAGTTAAGATGCTCAAATCAGATTCGAACTTTAGAGTTCAGATATAACCCTAGAATTCAGCATATTCAGTATGACTGTAGAGTTTCTTCAAAATTCATGTCAGTAATTATCGGCCACTTTTGGCGACTCGTCAAGAGATTTGTGTGCCTTAGAAATCAGTCAGAATATCATCATCGTGTTCAATAATTTTGAACTTTTTCAATATTCAGATGCCGCCACGTAGAGAACCCGATCATCCGGCTCCTTCTCAGGCTACAGTGGTCGCCCAGTTCCGCGACTATCATGCCGAAACGTTCTCAGGGCAGGGAGATCCTCGCGTAGTTGATGAGTGGATTCAGGTCCTGGAGTTTATCTTCGAGGTCATGGAGTGCCCTGAGAGATATCGCGTGGTTTGCGCACAGCTTCAGTTCACCGGTGATGCCAGGCTCTGGTGGAACGCTTACTGGGTCATGCGTCCCGGTGAGAAGGCGGGATGTACGTGGGAGATGCTCAAGGAGTTAATCCGTGAGAAGTACTATCCCACATACTACCGAGCAGAGATGGAGCGTCAGTTTCTATCGCTCCAGCAGGGTATCGTACTGTTGACGAGTACGAGAGGGAGTTCACGAGACTTGCAGCTTTCGTTCCTGATTTGGTCCGCACGGAGGCCCAGCGAGCATAGCGTTTCATTGACGGGCTTTATCCAGCAGTCCGTCATAACATCGTAGGCCACGGGACACAGACGTACGCGCGTGCAGTCTCCATTGCTCAGGAGGTGGATGCCAACATTAGGAGGGAGGCCGCTCGTGGTCAGTTTCATCCATCCGCCCCTGCTCAGTCGTCTTCAGTTCCACCGATGTCAGCTTTACCAGCTACCCAGCCGCCAAGGAACAACAAGAGGAAAGAGAAAGGTGCCCCGGCAGATAAGAGGACTCGACGGAGGCTACAGCAGATTCCGCAGTGCCCGACATGTGGACGACTTCACCGAGGCGAGTGTCACTTTGGTCAGGATGTGTGCTACTATTGTCATGAGCCCGGACACTTCGCGAACCGTTGTCCGAAGAAGGCGCAGCAGCCTCAGCAGCCTCAGCAGCCACCGCAAAAGCAACAGCCCCGTCAGCAGGCACACAGGCAGCCTCAGCAGCAGCAGCAGAGGGGCAGACAGCAAGCCAGAGTTTACGCCATCGATCAGGCAGAGGCTGAGCAGCAGCCAGGTACCATGTCCGGAATGGTTATTCTTAATAATGTTCCTGTGTTTGCGTTATTTGATACCGGAGCGACACATACTTTCATTTCACGACGATGTCTTGACGCCATCGGAGTTCGCGCTACTACCGCTATCGATCCTCTCGAGGTGAGTTTGGCCTTGGGACGAAAGATTGTGACTTCAGCTAAAGCTTCAGATCTTAGCCTTTCCATCGGTGGCCGAGTATTGTCTACCGACGCTTTTGTGCTCGAGATGAAGGACTTCGACCTTATTCTCGGAATGGATTGGCTATCATTTTATCATGCGGATATCAAATGTCACGACCGGGAGATTACTCTTTATCTTCTGAAAGACGAGTCGATTACTTTCTTCGGCTCCAGAAACCGTCCTTTGCCTCATGTTGTTTCGATGGCGAAAGCCACTAAGTTGCTGCGACGAGGCAACTACCAGGGTTATCTGGTGAGCCTTGTTGATGATTCTCAGAAAGCGCGTTCACCTCACGATGTTCCAGTCGTTCGAGAGTTTGTGGACGTATTTTCAGACGAGCTTCCAGGAGGACCGCCTAATCGACAGGTGGAGTTCTCTATAGACCTTATTCCAGGGGCCGGTCCCATATCCAAAGCCCCGTACCGTATGGCGCCAAAGGAGTTGCAGGAGCTTAAGGAGCAGATTCAGGAGCTGTTACGACTCGGTTTCATCCGACCGAGTGTGTCACCTTGGGGAGCACCCGTTCTCTTTGTTAAGAAGAAGGACGGATCCATGCGCATGTGTATCGACTACTGGGATCTTAACCGGTTGACGATCAAGAACAAGTACCCGCTTCCCAGGATCGACGACTTATTTGATCAGCTGAGAGGAGTCTGTGTGTTCTCAAAGATTGATTTTCGATCAGGCTACCACCAGCTGAAGGTTAAGGAATCAGATATCGCTAAGACCGCTTTCAGGACTCGTTACGGCCATTACGAGTTCGTCGTCATGCCATTCGATCTCAGCAATGCGCCAGCAGTTTTCATGGACCTCATGAACCGTATCTTTCATCCCTACCTCGATCAGTTTGATATTGTCTTTATTGACGATATTCTTATCTACTCGAAGAGCCAGAAGGAGCACGAGGAGCATCTGAGGGTGGTTCTCGAAACCCTCAGACGAGAAAAGTTGTTTGCGAAATTCTCCAAATGCGAGTTCTGGCTCCAGCGAGTATCCTTTCTGGGTCATGTGATTACTCAGGCAGGTATCGAGGTGGATCCTTCTAAGGTTTCAGCTGTTAAGAATTGGTCGGCACCAAAGAGTCCGTCTGAGGTTCGCAGTTTTCTCGGTCTAGCTGGATACTATCGCAGGTTCA